CCCCCCCCACACACAGAAAAACTCAATGACACGTTATTTTATTTCACTGTCTGTTAGCGGGAGTGTGTACAGAAGATTAGCTGCCATCTCAGCACCGGAGGAGCCCGAGCTATTGTCAGCTCTCACCGTCCACACGAGTGTTTCCGCTTACAAAACAAAACCCCAAGTCCACCCCTGACAGCGCGCGTCTTTTATTTTGAAAAACAGGCACTTGATACGAACCGCGCTAGCTTGACGCGCGAGGAGCTTCGTATGCTAGCCTCACGGAGCTAGTAGCCGCGGCCAGCTTGTCAGCAGCGAGGCGAAGGCATGCACACTCAGCACAACAGCAGCCCCGCCGTGTTTGGCTGCAAAGACCCACCTGACTGACAAACGACGCTCTTCCGGAGTTGTAGCCGTCGCGGTGCTCCTCTCACAGCGGCATGCGGGCGACCAAGAGCCCCGGAGCCGCAGCCGAATCGTCGGTTTCTCTGACAGGAGCGCTCCCGTCGCTCCAGCTCGTGCTCTCCTTGTTGATTCCCTTTCTCTTGTATCGAAGCCAGACGTCATCGTGTTTGGCCACGTGACTTCATTCATGCAGGATCCTCTTTTTTAAAACATGAGAAACATTTCTCACCAAAAAAACAAACAAAAAAAAAACACTTTACACGTTGTTACAGTGTAACAAGCTCAGATCTGCCAGGTGACAGGAAAACAGTGGTTACTATAATAAAAAACACACCCACAAAGTTTTCTTTGTCATGTTTAATAATAGAAGTACATGTGAAAAAACCCAGCTTCATTACAACATAAAATATAACAGTTCACATTTTGTTTGTAAAAGATTTGAGTAGAATTTCATATTCTATTTTAATAACATACTTTGAAACTGCATAATAACACCACGCCACAACATAGGCACTTAGAATGGCTAATGTCCCACCATGATCTAACAATGCACATGCATGCAGTGATCCACACCAAAATCAATAATATGAGGTATATTGGTGTCAGTATAAAGTTTCTACTGCATATCAAAAACCTGTTTTCTCCTGATCAAGTCAAAGAGCTCATATAAGCATTATGTTTTTTTATATATCAATATGTTTGGCTTTGTATAGGCATACAGCATAGTTTGCTATCACTTAAAACTTGTTAGCCAAGGAGTTGAAGCAATTTCTCAAAAATATGTCAAAATGACAACAACAATAATGTCATGTCCCAACCATCAAGTAATATATTGATGAGACACAACCACAAAACCTTAACTGCCCACCAACGACTGCATGGTTAAGGCCATGGTCACACATACGCAGATGTAGCAGTGGCAAACAATAACTTCCGCTTTGTGTGGAATTCAACTCTCGTCAACTTTGACTCGCGATCCCTGCTTTGCATTTGCGTATGTGTGACTGTGCCCTAACTAGTAAACCTACTTTTCCAACTACCACAGAAAAAGGACCAAGTGAGAGAAGATTTTGAAAACTTTAACGACCACAGATATTTAAATTATAACATATCTCGAAGTCCATTAACTTACCAAGGGAAGTAATGTGATAGCACAGGAACTGAACCTTAATTCGGGAGGGAATCAATGAACAATACAAAACATTTCAAAGGAAATGCATTTCATTTCAAAAATAACATGCATCAGGTATCATCCCAAATTCAGATGATTTTTTTTTTCTAGACAACATTTCACTAGTTTAGCTTATGTTTCAGAGGACATCTGCCAGTGGTGGTTTATTGACAACATTTACTGACAGCTTATCCTGGATTGTCAGTGATGTGACGAATTGAAATAAATGTGCGGATTCAGTTCTTCTTGGTCCTGGGGTTACTGCTGTTAAAGAAACTGATACCACGGGGTCGGATTCCTACAGCTTCTGCGTTCACTCCTGGCTGCTGAAGCACTTTGTCCAGAGTTGTTTTCTTTATGGCGGCTGGAGAGATCTTCTCCTGGTCAGCCAAGAACTGAAGTTTCCTTTTTAAAAGAAGGGCAGTAACACAGAGACTTTTACAAAGTAGCATGCAACACACATATTTAGCTCAACACAGTTAATGGCATAATAATAACCTCATCACTAGGTAATTAGTAAGCAGCTGACATTATTAAAATTATTGGCACATGGCTCCATCTACTGTCTGAATTCTGAACTTCAAAAGACCCTTTGGCCACTTGAGTGTGACAATTAACTTAAAAGCATTTCTCATGCACCGCTATGACAGGGAATATGATTTGTTGCTTTGTTTGTCTCACATTCTTTCATATCAACCTACCGAGTCCTGACACAGGAGGCCTCCACAGCATTAATCAGGAGGCTGCGGAATCCACCACTCTCCAAAACATGCAGGGCATGGATGGTGGCGCCCCCTGGTGAACACACATTGTCCTTGAGCTGCCCAGGGTGCTGTTCTGAGTCCAACAGCATTCGAGCTGCCCCCTTTTACAGAAACACAAAGGGAGATTGACATCAGCCCAACCTAGCACAAATAATGTCATAAACAAAGTCTTTTTTATTCAAACAGGAGTTCATCTCACAGAATAGCATTAGGATTTACTTGTCAGTGGCAGAGCAAATTAATTAACATTAGTGAGAAAAGAGTGACTAATTGTGGTCTGCATTTCATCACCAGAAGATTAAACTGGTTCTGTCTGAAAAGATACTACATATTTTAAACTAAAATACCAATCAGAAGTGCCTCTACCAAAAGGTACCCTAAAATTCAATCTAGCCACACCAAATTGTACAAACTCTAGATCCATACAAAATATCCTCCTGAAAGTGAAAAAAAAGACATCCTGGATCCCATCCTGGATCCCACTTGATCCAGGATGTCTTGTTTTTCCATGGAGCATGCCCCATCCCTCCACAAAACCTTCATGGACATGTTATCCTCCTAACTAAACAAACAGATGAAAACAAATCAAACTCAACAAAACAAGTAAACCTGCATTTATATTAAGTAACAATCATCAGACAAAAGCTGGACAACAAATCCATCTAACAAGTATATTTGTATAGAAAATAAAGGCCTTACCAGCAGGGCCTGGGCTCCGAGGCGCACAGCCAGTCTCCTGGGGAGGCCCATTTTCACTCCACCATCAGCAAGAGCATCCAAGGCTGTGAAAGCCTGCAAAGCCACAAGCAACACAAACAATCCATTGAGCAAAAATTTATTTAAGTAAGTCATTATTCCCAAACACACTAGATATTAATGTAATTAACTCACGTAAGCAGGGCCACTGCCACTGAGACCCGTTACAGCATCAATCAGATCCTCTTCCACCTCAGTGCAGAATCCTACACTGGCCATCAGCTGCTCCAGAAGCTTCCCATCCTCCGCCTCTGCATGGGTGCCCATGGCATACACAGTGGCTCCTTCACGCACCACCACTGGAGTGTTGGTCATGCAACGCATCACCTTTGGAGCAGGGCCATACTGTTGCAGCTTCTGCAAAGGGAAGCAATGCACTATTTCATGGAATGCCTTCAGATTACGAGGCAGAGAAAATTGAAATCACTTGCGTTTATAAATTTAAAGGATAATAAATGACATTTTAAGCCTGTCCAAAAACTAAAGTCACACGCTGAGAATTCTTTCTTAGAGTTTTACACTGGCAGCATTTTTGGGCTTTTTTGGGGGGGGTGGGGGGTCTGTTTTAAGATGCATGGCTTAAAAAGGCGAACATCTAAAATGTATATAATAAATATTCCAGAAGTCATTGTTGTGCCTGCTTTTGGGAGATTAAACAACATATCTGTTTATTTTTGGTTTCGAAAAACAGTGTTTCTAATGCAAGCAGCAAACATGCAACTATTTTCCCGGAGGCTCTGCTGAGATCAGGCCACAAAAACTCAGAGAGAGCTTTGTGTTAGATATTGTGTGGCAGTGAATGTTCCTAATGTCCAATAGGCTGAAGTTGCTTAATGAAAAGGCATGAATTTTACCCACATTATCCATCATCAAGAGCTGGGAGATACATATCAATGTGATGTTGATGTGAAACTAGAAAACATCAGGGATTGCAATTATAATGTTGGGCAACACTTCAGTTTGAATAATGTGTTTTTCTGGTTTAACAGCAGGGTTTTTATTTCGCTTCCACAATGAACAAACGAGCAACTACATGCTGGATCTGAAATCCACATTACTCACCTTTACATACCTATAGGTTATAAACTGTGTATAATGCATGTACACTGACTGTCTTTCAGTTAATCAGTAATGCCGCAGACAGAGGGATTTGACTTGCCTTCTCTATGGAGCTGATGGTGACACCTGCTGCACATGACACAATAAGGTGACGATCTTCGATGTCCGATCCGATCTCATCCAGCACGAACGGAATAATGTGGGGCTTAACGGCCAGGAAGAGGACATCGCTTTTGTGTACCGTCTCTTTGTTGCTGGTGGTGAGATTTACACCCAGTTTCTGCGCAAAGGACATGTATTTTAGTATTTCCAAGTAAGGACAGTGAATCATCTTGTGCAAGCACAGCAATGTTTTCTTCATGATGCAAAATCTCAGCCTGAAATAATACAGAATTAATTTTGGAACAAACATCAACACTCATCCTCTTATTTGTCTATACCCACCCTCAGTCCCTGCACTGTGGGGAGATCTGTGTCGGGGGAGCTGGCTGTGATTCTGTGGGTGGCAATCACGCCTTAAAGAAGAAACCAAAAAAACATATCACTGACTGATTGCAATCAACATACATCAACAACACAAATCAAATCAGAATAATCCCAGATATCGTACATTTGTGGGCTACTTTAGGAAACAAATCGTGCTCTGGGCCACGTTTAATTCTGGTGTTAACTGAAAGTGGCCCATGTGATAAATAGTGAATATGGGCTAAATAACCCAAAACATATCCGGGCCACCTTTGGTTGACATGCGGTATTGCTGTGGCTTACTTGTGGCCCAGATCTGGCAAACAGTGACAGTGTTCGCCAAAGCCACATGTGTAACTGTGGGATTCAAACATGGTGCAGGCTGACTTAAAGCTCACCTGCAGCTGCGAAGCCTCTCACCAGAGCGTGGGCCAACTGGCCAGCTCCTATGAACCCCACACTCATTCTACCTGAGTGGAAATCACACAGATTAGGCATGACATTCATTTCCCTTCAATTTAATAGAGATAATGGTGGCTTTGCCCAGTTTAACAATAGACATATCTATCCGCCCCATGAGCTGTGGCAGTAAACAAACTAACTTCCTCATTAAGCGAAATGACTCTTCTGAACACAGGGCGGCAGCAGCCATGTTAATATTAACAGCGAATGCACAAAATAAACTTACTAATATATGGAGGAGTCCCTGAGGTCACAGAACAACCAGGAAACACGGGGATGGTTCCACAAACTCACCTTTACAGCTGTCAACGTGGACACCACTGCTCTCTCTTTGCTGTACAGCGGAGAGAAACCTGACTGACGGGGCGAGAGAGCCAATGAGCTCGCGCGTTTAATGGGACATGTGATATCGCTGACCAATCGCCGGGCGGCTTGGAAAAGCATATCCTTGATGGGCGGGGTTTGCAAATCCGAAAAAGCCAGTTGCGTCATGTGAGAGCCGCGAGGCAGAGAAGTCCAGGATGGCGGGACTCTGCTAACATCTGCTGGAGAAAAGCTTGAACGACACGGGGACGACGTGGAGACGAGTTATTGCGACCCTCGAAGCCAATGGTAAGTGAAGTACGTCCAAGTTAGAGACCAGAAGGAAGAAACCTACCTGTTTCCCCCACAGTCCTGCTCCATTTCCTGCTAGCTTGTTCATTAATGTGAGCCTTGACTTCTACAAGTAAAGTGAAAGTTACTGAAGCATTCCCCTGCAAGACTTTGGTAAAGGTAAAAGTTTTGTATGGGAGCTCAGGACTGACTTCCTTCATCCATCTCACAATATAAACAAATCCTTTGAAAAGGAAACCTGATTCATACTTCACTCTAGTACAATATACATTTGATGATAGTGCCATTTTTATTTTATTTGATCAAGCTATGAAACAAATGTACTTCTCAACCAATAATGCACGTGCACCCGAGGATAATGAAAAAAAATCAACAATGATTTTTTATCAATAGCAAGGCAACACAAATCCAATCCAATACAGGTAAGCACAGTGAGGAGGCTTAACACATAGTTAATTAAGCTCAGATTTGTAAAATAATTTTATTCTTTTGTTTAATCCTTTTTGTATTTAACTTATGCCAACGGAGGACTGGCAAAGTAAGAATTGCATGCAGCGTTAAATGGCAGTAAAGACTCTTGAATCTCAAATCTTAACCATTGACATCACCAATTTCATGTCATTCAAACATTTGCCAATTTACTGTACAAAGGAGATTTCTGGTTTGTTTGTCCAACACAGGAGTCTTCCGTTTCCTGAAAGTTACAAGTAAACGTTCACACATGAACATGAAAAAAAAAAACAACATTTTAGATATTTTATTAAACATGGGACACATTAGAAATGTAGCAAAAGACAAAATATTACACATCATGATCATTCTTATCACAAATAATAAATTTGATACTGTCTTTAGCCTGCCCTCAAAAACTTCCATGTGTCAGACACATTGAAAATTCAGTGGATAACTGGAAAAGCCTAATTAATGTGAAATTTGACATTACATATATTAGGAATATTACTGGGGGAAAAACCTAGGCAACAACAACAAAATGGCCGTAAAGCCAAAACCAACAGCTACATTCAGTGCACACTGTAACACTTAACATTTACTATGCTTCTCTATGAGACACATTTTCATTCATTTATTTGTTTAAATACATTAAATACATTTCTTAGTCTTTGTAAGACTGATGGTGACTATCTGACACAGCACTGCTCTGATACTCTAAACATTATCACACACTCGTATAGGTCTGTCTTGTTTGAGACCACCAAAGGAAGTTGGAGAGGAGGGATGGATTTGGTGCTGAGATGGACGTATTTCCCACAGTCCTCGGTGCAAGAAATTGCTGAGATCAGCTGAACGGTGCACCTGGCATGTTCTCCCTGGTAGGTCATTACACAACTGAAGAAAAGCCTTTTCTTGCTACTACTGTATCATGGGTAATACTGTCAGTTTGGCTGCTGAGCAAAGATACTCAATACTAGAATAATGCTGAATACTGATAATAAAAACTGTTACACAGAAATAACATCATAAATGTGGATTTAAGGGAATGGGTCCTTCAATGAGACATGATTGTGGAAGGCTTGTTGGATGCTTAAACCTGTCCACTTGTCTCAGAGGATTAATAGTCTTGAAGGAGTAACATTTAGACAGCAGATCTGGAGACAAAGCGGATCCTCTGGGAGTAAATCAGATCCACAAAATATAAGATTAGGTTTACACTGGTGAACACTGCCACCACCAGTTTACTGTCCCAGGGACATTCTCCGCGTGGGCAGTCCTCAGGACGGTCGGTGGTTCCATATTTCCTATCAAAACTGAAGATGGGCCAGATAAGTGCAGTACTGAGGTAAAGGATCACAGCAAAGAAGGTGTAGACAACTACGAATCGGTCGAAAGGGAACCGCAGGGCTGAGCTCCTTCCAGAGACTGTCACTATGACCACTATCACAGTCACAGAGAAGCACAGGCTGTACACCACTACACAGTACTGGGTAGCAATGTACTGGTTGTATTCACTGTCATTGGCTAGAGCCCCAAAAATGATGCAGGCCACAAAACCCTGGACCACCTTGAGTAGACCAGACACCGTGGCCATGTAACCCACCACAGCCCCTGGTTTGGCTCGAGTTAGGAACACCTCAACTCCATAGGGGAAACAGCAGACACTGGAGCAGACAGTGACCGCAATTCGGTAGATTTGGATCTCGCAGCTTTCATCTGGGCACTCTGTCTGGAGAAAGTAAACAGGGTAGACAACAGAGGCAGTGATGTACATGAGAGTTGCCAGCATGGCAAAAGCCACTGTGAAGTTATCCCAGGAAATGGGCATGCATGTGTGGAGCCGCGTGATGTCCAAGGTGAACACGACCAGTGTCACAGCGAAGCAAAAGCACCACACAAACATGCAGAAGGTTCCATAGGTGGCGCTGTAGCCTGCACTGTGGGACACAAGGGCCAATATGGTGCAGCCTAGGAGCATCTGGCACATTCGGGCTGCACCTAAAGGTGACAATACAGCGTCTTTGTTGAGGTAGTGTCCTCCAAGAGGATCCATGGTGTGTTGTTTCTTTTGGTTAGGTTCTCGACGTCCTGTTCTTTGTCTTGGTGTCCTTGCGGTCTCCTCTGTCGATGTAGACCTCACCCTTTCCTCTGTTGCCTTTTATAGTTGGTCTTTAATTACAAATGTCTGTCAGTTTACCCAGAGCTTACTTTGTAATTACAGCACTGTGTTTAAGTTACATTCATACACTGTTTTGTAGATGTTTTTACAGTAGTTTGCAGTAGTAAATGACTTTATTTAAGTGATAAAATATCCTTTTTGATTGGAAAGTTCTTTAGGAAGGAAATGGCAAGTCTATGAAACATGCATATAGAAACTATTTTATAGAAATAAAATACAACAATCCTTTTTATATTGTCTATAAGATTAAGGGTTTGATCCCAGTCTTACTCGAAGCTGTGGCGTATGTCCTTAGAAACCTTGGTTTTCCTTTGCTTGCTCTCTTCGATCCTCATGCTGTCCAGTGTATTACAAGTTCAAAATCAAGAAAGAGCTTGTCCAGTAAGCTCCCCTCTGAAAGTTGTATGCCGAGATCAGTCTTCCAACAATAGCCCTTGCTGCCGAACAGGTGGAGTACTTTGTTGTCTTGTCAGTCAGGTCCTGTTACTCCATGATCCCTTGTAATTTCTTCACTATAGGCCTTTAACTGCCAGTGAAAATCACTCAAACTGTTGGCTCTGTCTCCTGCACTTTGTCTCACTGTTTCTGTCTCTCTTTGCTTCTTGGATTTGGTCTCCCACTCTTTCTTCCTCACACAAACACACACCCTCTCCCTCCTGTATGTCCTGTGTGTGTGTGCGT